CCCACTAAGGCACGTACCTCAGTTGCAGTTTGTCCCCGGCCCTAGTTGGGGTCCTGTGGGTGGCAACCATTTTATGTGTCTCTCTCACATTGATGTTTCTCTCTCTCTCTCTCTCTTCCTCCCTCCTGCTCTATCTGAAGATAAATGCAAAAATGTTCTTGGGTGAGGATAAAAAAAAAGAGAGAGAGAGAGAAATCAACACAATTCTAATAGTTGCAAAATTTCTATTCACTCCAGGGGGTACATACTTAACCAAATAAAAATATAGTATATCATTAATATAGAGTAAATTATTTGACATTAAAACTAAAATTACCATCTTTTACCCCATAATATAATGGCACTAAATAGACTAACAGTTTGAATCCTGGTTCTGCCACTTAATTGCCATAGGACCTTGGAAAAATGATTCTGCCTCTCTGGGCCTCAGTTTCTTCATTTGAAAAGAGATAAATAGCATCTATTTGTGGGATTATGGTTAAAAATTAAATGAATTTATAGAAGGTATGCACCTAGAACAATACCTAGACATGCAGACAAAAAAATAAATGTTAGCAGGAATTTGTTGATTTCTTTTTTTAACTTTTTTTTTATTGTTGAAAGTATTGCAGATGTCCCACTTCTTTTCCCCCATTGACCTCCTCCTCCTCACTCCCACCCACCTCCTGCTTTCCCCAAACTATTGTCTCTGTCCACTGGTTGTGCATATATGCATATAAGTTCTATGGTTTATTTTGACATAATATCAGATTTATAGAGAAGTGGTAGGAACAGCTCCATCTTTATATAACCGTCACCCAGATTCCCCAAGATGTTACTATTTTACCACATTTGCTTTGTCCTTGATTCTATGTGTATTGTTCGGTTGGTTTTTTAACCTTTAAAGAGTAAGCTGCAGTCATGTACCCGTTTACTCTTAACTGCTTCAGGATATGGTTCTTACAAACAAGAACATTTTTTTCTTTTTTAACGTATCCACAGTGCAGTTTTCAAAATCAGGACATTATCACTGATACAACATTATTGTCTAATCTATAGACTTGATTCAGATTTTGCCAATTGTCCCAATAATGTGCTTTATAGCAGAAGAAAATCCCAGATTGTGCGTTTTATTCTACTGTCATATCTCTTTATTCTCCTTAGTCTAGAACAGTTCCTCATGAATTTTTTGGTCTTTTAAGACCGTGACATTTTTTGATACATACAGGGCAATTATTTTGTAGAATGTCCTTCAATTTGAGTTTGTTTGTTTCCTCATGTTTAGACTCAGGTAATGCATTTTTGGCAAGAATATCACAGATGCACTGTTGTATTCTTTTCTTTGAAGAGATCAGGAAGCATATGATATTTGTTTGTCCCATCACTGGGCTGTTGACTTTGATCATGTGGATAAGATGGTGTTTACCACTATAAAGTTACTGTTTTTCTCTTTGTAATTAATCTGTTTATAGAGAGATACCTTTAGACTATGCACATATTTCTGTTACTGCAAAACTTGACCCATGAGTTTGTCCTGGCTGGTTTGGCTCAACAATTAAAGCATTGGCCTGCGGACCAAAGAGTCGCGGGTTCAGTTCTGGTGTAGGGCACGTACATCAGTTGCAGTTTGGTCCCTGGTCCTGGTTGGGGTCATGTGGGAGTCAACCAATTGGTGTGTCTCTCTCACATTGATGTTTCTCTCTCTCTCTCCCCCTCTATCTGAAGATAAATGAAAAAACATCCTCAAGTGAGGTTTTAAAAAACAAACAAACAAAAAGCAACAACAAAACAAAAACAACCCCAACTTGACCCACTAGTTTAGTATCCATTGATTATTATTATTATTATGGTTATCAAATGGTGATTTCTAATTCCATTATTTCTTATAGTTATTAGTTGGCACTCTATGGACTTTCCCTTCTCCCCCATTTATTTGTATCAGTACATATTTCTAGATACTTATTTATTCATTGGTTTACAGTCTATTACTATAATTATTTTAGTGCTTGTATAGTCCCCAGTTTGGCCAGTGAGGGCCCCTTTACGCTGGCTCCTGTGTCCTTTCGTCAGATCTCTGTGTGAGCACTTCCTTACTTTCTGGCACAAAGTGTTTTAGATTCTTTTTTTTTTTTTCTTTTTTCTTAAAGATTCATTTTGTACTTGAGTTACCCCAGCCCTGAAATCAGCCATTTCTCCCAAGATGCTAATGGATGTTTAAGTAGAGGGAGGAATCTGTATCTTATGCTGACTTTCCAAAGTAACATTGACAGATGAATTGTAGAAGCTTCTTTTAAAATATTACTAATACTTTAAGATTAGTTCATTCTCTCGTTTCACTAAGTGTCCTTTCTCTGCCTGGGGCTAGATATAAGTGAAGTAGTTTACATCTCAAAAGCAGTGTCAAAATAATGGCTACAGACATTGAATGCTATAGACGTTCAGAGATGGGCGAGAAACCTGCGGATTGAAGAAGTTGAGAAGAGAGTAGAGTTTGAATAGATAGAAAGGAGCGGGGAGGACATCAAGTCCGGCAGGGCAGGAGCAAAGGTGTTGCACTGAGAATAGGCCTGTTTCATTAGGGAATTCTGAGAAGCCTGACTAGCTGTGGAGAAAATCATGGTAATTCGTGGCTAGGTGGGCGGGGTTCGGTTTACTGGGAGCCTGGACTTCAGGCTGACTTTTTAAATGTATCCTACATGCAGTGACGAGTCCTGAGGGGGCTAGGTAGTCACGAAGAGTATATTTAGGACGTTTAATCTGATGTTATATTTCAGAGTAGATTGAAAAACAAGAAAAGTGAGAAAACTATTAAAATAACTGAGTCAGAGGCCATAAGAATACAAATTGAAAGGAATTTGGAAGAAAGCAATGATTTTAGTGGGTTGAATCAGGATAACTGGGAGAATGGGGGACTCTGATGAAATAAGAAACTGATGATTTTTATAAAGGAAAGAACAAATAAATTACAAAGAGAAACTCAAAGAAAAACAGGTTTGATGAAATTAATATTTTTATTATAACTTTTTCCCTATAATGGTTGATTAAGAATCATAGAATTACTCCATAACTTTTGATATAATACAATACAGTTAAAAAGTAATGATATGGGGCCATATAATATCACAAGTATTAGATACAGTAATCCTTGCTGAATTTCATAACACTTGTTAGACGTAGATATTTGTAATAGCTTTAATTTCCATAGCTTTAGGTTTATAGTGAACTAGGACGTTGTTTGGGTTGATATGCGCTAGTACATTCAACCATAAAACCAGTCTCAAATCATACCTCTGAATTAAGATCTGGATTCCTGACTGATTTGAAATGTGTGGTTCTTGTTGGCATTTGGGGGGGAGGGATTAGAAATTTGTTTCTAAGACTAGCATTTAATTGATTTTTTTGTGTGTTTTATTAAAATTTCCATCCTCTACAAATTAGAATGACTATGAGGTATCACCTCACATCTGCCAGAATGGCTGCCATCAACAGATCATCAAACAAGTGCTGGCGAGGGTGTGGAGAAAAGGGGACTCTAGTACACTGCTGGTGGGAATGCAGACTGGTGCAGCCACTATGGAAAACACTATGGTGTTTCCTCAAAAAATTAAAAATTGAATTGCCATTTGAGCCAATGATTTTACTTCTAGGAATATATCCTAAGAAGCCTGAAACACCAATCAGAAAGAATATATGTACCCCTATGTTCATAGCAGCTCTATTTACAATCGCTAATATCTGGAAACAGCCCAAGTGTCCATCAGTAGATGAGTGGATGAGGAAGCTCTGGTACATATACACAATGGAACACTATGCAGCTGTAAGAAAGAAAGATCTCTTACCCTTTGAGAGGACATGGAGGGACCTGGAGAGTATTATGCTAAGCAAAATAAGCCAATCAGAGAAAGATAAGTATCACATGATCTCACTTATTTGTGGAATATAATGAACAAAGATCCAGAGACATGGAAGTAGGGAACACACTGACAAACCTCATAGGGATGGGCAGGGTAGGAAGAGAAACCAAAGAACTTATATGCCTATATGCATAGCCAATGGACACCGACAAAAGTGCAGTGAAGGTAGGGGAGCAGGAAGTGGGGAGGAGGGTATCATTGTGGGGGAAAAGGAGGGACATCTATAAAAAAAAATTAATTAAAAAAATGTCCCATCTTTGTTTCTCTTTTAAAAAATATATCATTTTTATTTTACTGCATTTATTTTTTCTTTATTGATTTTTAGAGAGAGAGGAAGGGAGCGGGAGAGAGATAGAAACATCGATGAGAGAGAACATCGATTGGCTGCCTCCTGCATGCCCCCCACTGGGGATTTGGCCTCCAACCTGGGCATGTGCCCTGGCCGGGAATTGAACCAGCAACCTTTTGGTGCATGGGTTGAAGCTCAACCACTGAGCCATACCGACCGGGCAAATATATAAATTTTAACTTCAACTCTGTGTGAAGAAGTCATCAGAAACTAAAACTTAGCTAAGATCTTAAAGTCACCAAATATTGTGACCAAACATACTTTGCCATATGTTGGGAGATGAGTGTAGAGAGTGTGTAGATCCAAACATCCCCAGAAAGTGAGAATGAGGGTTCCTGAACAGATATTTTGCCATTTCATTACTTTTTACAATTAAACGTATTTCAGTGTTAACCAGACCACCATTCTTTGTGGGTATAGCAAGAAAAATGACACAGGTTTATTATCACTTGAGCTACTACCTCTTCAGGCTTTCTGAACTGGCTTGAATCCTGGAGGTTACGTCTGAGAACTGAACCTCATTTCATCCACAGGACACCAAGCAGGTTTGTTCATTTTCTTCTTAATAGGTTAATATTTGGACTTCCTAATTAAAATCTTTTGAAAATATTATTACATGAAGGGATGTATTAACCATGTACTGTGTTGGGATAGTGCTGGGTGACTGTCATAATTTCTGCCACTACAGTTTATAAAAAGGAAAATAAAGTCGGTTCTTTTTGTTGGGAAAGAAGATTTCATGTTATCTGTATTTGCAGGCTTTCTGGCTCATATGCGGGAGGAATCCTTGCTGCGGGGGTGTTTTCATTTTCTCGTCTAACATGGCAGTGGTCCATTGCAGCAGAGGTTTTTAGCTTAAACAATCTGTTTGTGGGGCTGCTTATGGCTCTTACTGTACATTTTGAGGAGGCAGCAACGGCAAAAGAAAGATCAAAGGTAACCTATTTTGATCAAAGGGAAATCACTTTTTGTTTTAATTTTTAGATAGATGCTGTATTTCTTTTTAACTTTGGTTTAGATACTGTTTATCTGTTTCTGATTACTGTCAAGGTAATCTAGGCATGTTGAGAAAGAAAATATTCTCAGGTCTTTTACTGTGAACCATGAGAGCCTTTATAAAACATGGGATTTTTTCTTCCCCCCTTGGAGTTCAAAAGTTTTTTTTGGAGAATGAGGGGATTCTGAAGTCTCCTTTGAGTCCTGTGGGAAAGATAGGCTTGTTGGTTAATTCCACCATTGTGTGTGTGTGTGTGTGTGTGTGTGTGTGTGTGTGTGTGTGTGTGATCATAAGATGCTAAGCTCTAGATTGACCACTTTAAATTGTATGTCATTATGGTACATTGACTTATTCCTAATTACAAAAAAGGATCAAATTTGAATTTTTTAAAAGGAGATTATCAAGTGTAAAAATGAAGTAGTTCAGAAGAGATAATAATAAATTCCAAGACCCACACTATCATCAAGATAATCTGAAACTCAAAGGAAGCCTGTCTTCTAAGAACTTGCAGTCTACGCATCGGAAAGCGACAAATCATCTTAGTGTAGGCAACGTGTGTCATTAGAAAATACAGAAACAAAACACCATTATGGTTTATCGCGTTTCCGTAAACGGGTCTGTGATGCTATCAGAGTTTTTTGTTTGTTTGTTTGTTAAAAATAAACTTTTTTTCTGATTATGAAGAGAACACATGTTCAAAAAAAGTAAAAACACAACCCAGTGATAATCACGTTCTAAATAAGTAGTGTTATGTTTCATTTATTTAATCTAACTGGAGAAAAAGGTAAAGCAAATAATTGCTGAATTTTGGTACAGATTTCACTCAAATAAGAATTACACTATATCCTATTATTACTGTTAGGACTTAATCTAGTCATTATATAGGACTTTCTGAAATTTAGTTTGAAGATAGTTGTTTAAGGTCAAACTGCAGTGATTTGATGAGAAGAAAAATATTAATAAAAAATAATGATGATAAATATCAATGACTAGTAAAGTATGACCACTTGCAACAAAGTGATGGTTTTTAACCTGACCTGTGGTATGCCTGGTTTTAATATAAAGAACAGCTTTTTACTATTGTGCTTACTTAGAGTTTGAGGTGAATATTTAACTTGGTGTTTTTTGTTTGTTTTTCTTTCATTTATTTTCAGATAGCTAAAATTGGTGCTTTCTGCTGTGGCCTTAGCTTATGTAATCAGCACACAATAGTACTCTATGTTTCATGCATAATACCATGGATTCTCTTTCGGCTTTTAAAAGAGAAGGTAGGTTTTTGAATTTTGTAGAACTGAAAATTCATAATATTTTATTTAAGCCCACTATAACATATATGGCATCATGGGGCTTTAATTTTGTTTTGTTTTGTTTTATATGTTGCATATATCACCTTAGGCCCTAACAACAATGAAAAAACAGGATTTACAAAAATTATTACAGTTATCGTGACATATGGCCTATTTCATAATTTTCTTATGGATTTTGAATAGCACCTTGATGAAAATAGGCTAAAAGAACTGAAAACAACAATAGCAAAATCTCTTAATTGTTGTATTATACATTCTAAGACAAAAGATAGTGTATTAGTAATAGTTCATTCATTCATCCAGCGGTTCATTGAGGGCTGCTGTATACCAGATGCTGTTCTGGGTGCTAGAGACCCAGCTGTCAACAAAACAGACACCATCGCTGCTACTGTGAAATAAATAACAAAATCTCTGGCAAATAACAGTTCTGTTTTCTTAGATCTCCCTAGAATAAAAATGATTATTATAGTTTTTGTCTGAAAGGAAAAAATGATTATGAATTTAAATAGTGTTACAAAGCAGTATAGGAAAATTACTGTGTTAGGCCATAGGAGATGAGGTAAAGAGAAGGTAGGGAACTGGGATAGACACAAGTCCTTGGAAAGATAGAAGCTCTTTATTCTGTCTGTCTTCGTCCCAGAGGTTACAACAGTCGATGTACAAAGCCAGTGCTGGAGTAATTTTACTTAATTTACTGTTTGTTTGTTCATTATACCTCAGGCATGTTTATCACATATACCCAGCTATCATCAGAATTATATTAGAAAAACACATATAATAAAATTATTATATAGAAATAGGGAAATAATTATATCAAAGCTTTAGATAATTATATTTACTGTACTTGAATATATTTTCTTAGCTTCTTGGCAACAAAGCAAAAAGAGTTACAAATATGGAGTTACAAAATTCTTATTATGTGATAGAAATAAGTACAAAAGAACAGAATTGAGCCCTGGCCAGTTTGGTTCCGCAGTTAGAGCATCGGCCCATGGACCAGAGAGTCCTGGGTTCAGTTCCCAGTAAGGGTACGTACCTCATTTGCAGTTTGTTGCCGGCCCTGGTTGGGGTTGTGTGGGTGGCAGCCACACCATGTGTCTCTCTCACGTTGATGTTTCTTTCTCTCTCTCTCTCTCTCTCTCTCTCTCTCTCTCTCTCTTCCTCTTTCTCTCCCTCAAGACAAATGCAAAAAAGTCCTTGGGTGAGGATTAAAAACAAAAACTAAAAAAAAAACCCACATAATTGACAGGAAAGATGAACTTTTTCTAGGAACTGAATTTTGTGAAGTCAGTCATATCGGACCTTATGTAGTGGATAGTAAGCAGTGTAATAGGCACTGCAATGCAGGCCTTACAGAGTACACAGGAAGTTCTTCATATGGTTTTGTATTATATCAGCTCCTGATAAAATACTTGAAGATATAACATTAAAAAATACAATTCAGCAAAAACTTCGGGAGGCCCAAATATTTTTATTGTGAATTGATGGGTCCACAGATGGGGATGCATTGACATCCTGGTATCGGTCATTTAGCCAGGCTTCTTTTTATTGTTTCCAGCTTTATTGACATATAATTGACATATTATGCACGTTTAAAGTGTACAATGTGATTATTTAATATATGTACATATTGCAAAATGATTACAGTAAGGTTAGTCAACAGCTTTATTACCTCACATAGTTACAGTTTTGTGTGTATGCGTGTGTTCAGAACTTTTAAGATCTCTCAAATATTATAAATAGAAGTTTGTATCCTTTGACTACATTCATCTACTTCCCTTACCCCATAATCCCCATCTCTGACAACTACCAATTAATCTCTGTTTCTAGGTGTTTAGTTTTTTAGATTCCACATATAAGTGAGATCATAAGTATTTGTCTTTCTCTCCGACTTATTCCACTTAGCATAATGCCCTTATGGTCTGTCTATGTTGTCCAAATGGCAGAGTCTCCTTTTCATGGCTGACCAATATTACAAAGTGTATATGTGCAGATAAATATATAGATATTACATTTTTTATCCATTTATTTGTTAGGGGACACTGAGGTTATTTTTATGGCTTGGCTATTATAAATAATGATGCAATGAACATGAGCATGTAGAGATAGTGATTTCATTTTCTTTGGATATATACCCAGAAATGGAATTGATGGATCATATGGTAGTTATGTATTTAATTTTGGGGGGAAGTGTGGGCACCAGTTACGTTCCCACCAACAGTACCCAAAGGTTTTTTTTCTCCACCTCCTCATCAGCCCCTGTTATTTCTTGTATTTTTAAGAATAGCCATCATAATAGGTGTGAGGTGGTATCTCAAGGTGGTTTTGATGTGCATTCCCTTAATAATTAGTGATGTTGAGCACCTTTTCATATATCTGTTGGCCACTTGAATATCTTCTTTGGAAAAATGTCTATTCAGGTCTCTTACCCATTTTTTTAATCAGGTTATTTGTGTGTGGGGTTTTTTTGTTTGTTTTGTTTAGTTACTGTTTTTGTATTGTTGTTTTGCTGCTGAGTTGGATGAGTTCCTTATACATTTAGGATATTGACCTCTTTCTTATCAGATATGTGGTTTGCAAACATTTTCTCTTATTACACAGATTGCCTTTTCATTTTGTTTATACTTTCTTTTTCTGTGCACAAGCTTTTTACTTTGATGTAGTCCCACTTGTTTATTTTTGCTTTTATAGCTTGTGCTTTTGGTGTCCTATCCAACAAATAATTGCCAAAACCAAAGTCAAGAAGCATTTTTTCTATATTTTCATCTAGGAGTTTTATGGTTTCATATTTAAGTCTTTAATCCATTTTGAAGTAATTTTTCTGAGTGGTGTAAGTTAGGGGTCCAGTTCCACTCTTTTGCATGTGAATATCCAGTTTTCCCAACAACGTTTATTAAAGAGACTATTCTTGCCCCACTGCGTATTCTTGACTCACGTGTCAGATATTGTTGGCCATATAGACATGGGTTTATTCTGGCCTCTCAATTCTGTTTCATTGGTCTACATGTCTGTTTTTATGCTAGTACTGTACTGTTTTATGATATAGTTTGAAATTACAAAGTGTGAAGCTTTGTTTTTCTTTCTCAGGAGTGCTTTGTCTGTTTAGGATCTTTTGTGGTTCCATACAAAGAATCTAGGATTCTTTTTAATATTTCTGTTAAAAAATGCCTTTAGAATCTTGATAGGGATTGCATTGAATCTGTAGATGGCTTTGGGTAGTATGGACATTTTTTTTTTTTTTTTTTTTTTATCCTCACCCGAGGATATTTTTCCATTTTTTGTACAGATAGAGTGGGAGGGAGAGAGAGGAAGGGAGAGACAGACAGAAACATCGACGTGAAGGGACACATCGAGTGGCTGCCACCCGCACGACCAACCAGGGCCGGGGACAAACTGCAACCGAAGTACGTGCCCTTAGCGGGAACCGAACCCGGGTCTCTCAGGACCGCAGGCCGACGCTCTAACCGCTGAGCCAAACTGGCCAGGGCATTAATATTAATTCTTTCAATCCATGAGTATAGAATATCTGTCCATGTATTTGCATCTTCAGTTTCTTTCATCAGTGTCTTATAGTTTCCAGTGTACATATCTTTCACTTCCTTGGTTAAATTTATTCCTAAGTGTTTTAATGTTTTGATACTATTATAACTGGGATAATTTTCTTTATTTTCTTTTGGGTAGTTCATTGTTAGTATGTAGAAACACAGCTAATTTTTGCATGTTGATTTTGTATCCTGCAACTTGACTGAATTCCTTTATTAGTTTGAACAGTTTTTTGGTGGAGTCTTTAGGATTTTCTATATATAAGATTATGTTATCTGCAAACAGATACCATTTTACTTCTTCCTTTCTGCTTCTTCCTTTATTTCTTTTCCTTGTCTAATTGATCTGGCTAGGACTTCAGTACTGTGTTGAATAGGGGTGGTGACAGTGGACACCCTTAGTTTTTCCCGATATTAGAAGAGAAACTTCCAACCTTTCATTGTTGAGTATGATGTTAGCTTTGAATTTGTCAAATATGGGTTTTATCACGTTAAGGTATGTCCTAGATCAATTAAATCAGAATTTTTAGGGTGGCTCTGCACATGGGTAGAACAGTGGGCTGGGATCTCTGCTCAGGCAAGCAGGAATGCAGTTTCCCAAGGTCTGAGCACTGGTTGCTTTGTAAGCCCGGCTTCTCGTCTCCATCTCTGCTCTTCAGTGGTTGAGCCCTGCAGATGGGGAGTGAGCTGAGACAGGAGTGGGCTTCCTGGAAGGCGTCCTGCAGTGCTGGAGGAGCTGGATGTCCACTGGGGCTCTTTTTTCCCACTGGAAAAGCCATAGCCCCAGGGTACGCTCTCCATGCAGCCCCCGCTGGCCTGGGGGAGGGGTGATGCAGTCCCTTGTAATGCAGTCCTTCTCAGTCTGTGTCCCAGGGGCGTGCTTCCGCCACATCCTGGATTCTGGTATCTTCACAGTGGCGTTTGTCCAAGGATAGTTGCTGGTTGGATTTTTGTGAGGCGGACTGAAGTCAGGAATGATCTATGTTGCCAACTCATGGTGTCACTCTTAGCCTGGCTTCTGACATCCAAGAAGGTACATTCAGCTGTCGGAGAGGTGCATTCTCTGGCAGGAACCTAACAACCAAGTGTTTTGTGTTAATTGATAGAGAGGAAAGCAAATATGCTTTGTGTAAAACATGCAGGACTCAGGAGACAAGTTAGGAGGCTGAGAGCCTATTGGGCCTGTACTGGGGTCAGCTACTGAAGAGGAAGAAATTTTGGGAAGTAGGACTCTTCAGAGGACCTTTCATTTCCACTATCAGAGGCTAGAAAATAAGGTCTACCAATGAAGTGACAGGGTAGTTGGATTTGAGGCAGAGAAAGAAATCTTGAGTCACTTGGTTGCAATTCTGGCGGCTTACTTAAATTATCTGGGAAACCTTAAAAAAGTGTGTGTGTATAGATGTGTGTACGTGTGTGTGTGTGTGTGTGTGTGTGTGTGCAATGCCACCCTAAAATAATTCTGACTCAAATGATCTGGGGTGAGGCCCCGACAATTAATATTTTTAAAAAGCTCTCCAGGTGATTTTAGTATATGTGCAGCTCGGACTTGGAACCACTCTCCTGGACTCTGAAATAGCTCTCATAGAACACTCTCCCTGTTTATTTCCAACACAAAAGGCAAATTCTGCAGCAATTGCATCTAGCCATTCTAAATTGAACTTTATAATATGCAGAAACTGCCAAAGTACAAACATTTACTTTCTTTAAGGCTACTTTTAAGAATGCAAAGGCATGTTTTCCAGTTAGTTATTTCTTACACTCTTTAGGCCATGATTTTTATGCATCTCGTTACCACTTTAGAAATATCAAATGAAATCAGTACTATAATAAAAACACTCCATAATCAATGAAGAATGTTTATTTGAAAATGCTAATAGACGTCAACTGCTTCTTCTGTTTAGTGAATATGAATCTTGGTTCTTATATTCATTGTCACATATGGATTTCTCTTTTTTGTAAAGGAAAAATTGGCAATTTCCAATGATGATATTTGTAAGAGACTCCCTTTCCCAATTACTAAAGCGACTACCATTTGAATCTTTCTAGTAGTACCCCAGAGTTACTTTGGACTTAATCTTTATAAAACTTTGTCAATAGTATCCTTTGTTTTAGAAATATGCAGATGAAAAATATATTCTCATATAAGCAACATTGTTACATAGAACAACAAATTTCGCTTAGTACTCCATTCTATATGTAAATAGGGAATACAGAGCATTTGGGTGAGCTGAGAAGTTATTTAAAAGCTAGCTTCAGTCCAGCCGGTGTGACTTAGTGGTTGAGCATCAACCCATGCAACAAGAGGTCACCGGTTTGATTCCCGCTCAGGACACATGCCCAGGTTGTGGACCAAATCCCCAGTGGGGGGCAGGCAGGAGGCGGCCAACCAATGTTCTCTCTCCTCGTTATTTCTCCCACTTCCTCTCTCTGTAAAATCAATAAAGGAAAAAAAAAAAAAAGCTAGCTTCATTTGTGCCATATAATTCCTTGAAATGTCCAAAACTCTTGTAAAAAGAATCATACTGTCAATGTATAATCATAATAGAGTATACAGTTTAACTTCTACTCCCAATGAGGGTGATGAAATTGGTATTAGGACAATATTTGGGGCATATTCAAAATCAGCCAAACAACTCAATCACTTCCAAGTGGGTTATCTCAGTTGTGCAGGGCTGCATGTCATGACATGCTTTTAAATGTAAAAGATGCAATAAACGTGGTACTCATGAGCCTTTGCTAATATTATTCGCTTCACTCAGATTTCACCGGCCATGCAAAGGAGTTCAGGATGATGCAATTTTCTAGTAATCCACTGTAATCAGAAGGTTTAACATAGTATTTTGTGGTGATTTAATATACATTGAGAGATGATCTCTAAGTAAACATAGCTGATGTTTTCCTTGGTGTGTTCTTGAAGTTCCAGGATGAATCAACTAGAATAAACATTGTTATACAACAAAATGTGCTCTGATGCAGGAACTCTCCCTGGGCTCCTTGTTGAAGTTGAGTCTGTACTTCACTGCGGGGTTGCTGCCCTATATCTATCTTCCTATTTCATCCTACCTCAATCAAGCCCGCTGGACCTGGGGAGACCAGACAACGGTGCTAGGATTTTTGACTCATTTTCTCAGAGAAGAATATGGAACATTCAGTCTGGTAAATCTATATTTAAAGACCTTTTAAGGAATAAGTGGCAACACTTCCATATTCCGCCTGGACCTCTATTGAAAAAAGAAAAAACAATGAATGTTTATCAATGACAGTATGTAGAATTTTCTTTGCAGTTATTTAGGTAACAAACTTGCCCATTGAAATGTGACGTTAAAAAAAAAAAAATGGCATCACTGAAGCTGATGTCATAGTGTTGTGTGTCCTGAATGTACTTTCAGGATAGATAACAAGCATTCCGGAGGCTCTGCGCCAGCACTCGAAGCATTTCCGCAGTGCCGGGCACCGCTTTGGGCTCTTGGTCTGTGGTTTAAAATATTTGGAAAAGCCCTGGCCGGTTTGGCTCAGCGGTTAGAGCGTCGGCCTGTGGTCTGGAGAGACCCGGGTTCGGTTCCCGCTAAGGTCATGTACCTCGGTTGCAGTTTGTCCCCGGCCCTGGTTGGTCGTGCGGGTGGCAGCCACCCGATGTGTCCCTTCACATCGATGTTTCTCACTCTCTCTCCCTTCCTCTCTCTCCCTCCCACTCTATCTGTACAAAAAATGGAAAAAATATCCTCGGGTGAAGATAAAAAAAAAATAAAAAAAAAAATAAAATATTTGGAAAAGGTTAAAGAAAACGAACCTCAGAGTTTTTAATTTACCTTGGCCAAATGTTTCTATTTACATATTTGAGGAGTAGTGTTCATGTTAGTATTTCATGTAATACCTATGTGTAAAGGCTTTATAAAATATAATTCACTAAATGTGTGAAATTTAATATGTTCTAAAGCAATTCAAAAGGGCTTATTTTCCCTAAACCATAAATTAGGGGAAAACACTAAAGTGGTTACAGTAAAGATTATCTGAAAAATAAAAGGATAAAGAGATGCTTTTTAAATTTTAAAGCAGACAGTTGTATCAGGTTTTCCTTTCATGGCTTGTGCTTGTTGTGTCTTCCTTAAGAAGGCAGATCTCAGAAGAGTACATATTACATGACATCATTTACACAGAATTCTAAGCCATGAAAAAATTAAACAATCTATTGCTCAAGGATACATACAAAAGTAGTATAATTGTATATTTTTATGAAGTAGGAGAATAATTAACACAAAGTTCATGGTCATAGTTACCACTAGGGGGTAAGAAAGGCAAGGCTGTGTGAGCTAGCTTACGGTATCCATGTAGTTATGTTTCTTAAGTGAATGGTGGGTCTTTAGACGTCTTTAAACTATCACTTAGATATATATTATATATGTTGTTTGTAAGTCAGAGATATTTCATAATATAATAGGTTAATAAAAGCATAATTATTATTTTTTTACTTAAGAGTTTGACACAACTGGTCTACTTACATTGGTCATTCCATTCAAGTGTTGCTTGAGGACCATCCCAGATTTGAAATTTGTATAATCCACACATAATTGCAAAATTATAGACTAACAGTGATATAATCAGTACCGAAAAATTAGCTTAAAGAAATTCTAACAAAAGTGTAAAGTCTATTAATTCACTAATGTGTTAATTATTTCTGCTGGAATAGTTTAACTGATTTTTAGCCAATTACTATTTTTGAAATTCTTCCTAAAGGTTGTTCATGTTTAATTTTCACTAACTTTGCTTTAAAACTTCAGTAAGGCTCTGAAGTAAAGACTTGGAATGAAGAGAGATGTTGCATTGTATATTTAAAGCATGTATCTTTTAAATCAAGATAGTTAAATACAGTAGCCTAACAGAGTTTTAGTTTAATGCTTGTGCAAATAAACTTTTTCTCATTTATGTGCAGGCCAAATCTGAAATAGGATCCAGTATGTCTGAAATTTTACTGTGAGTATGAAATATTTGAAGCTGTTTTAAAATGAATTCTCTGTTGGTTTGGGGGGTTTCTGAGTTTCTTTCTTTGTGAAGTGATATGTCTGTAAGTAGTTTTCACCTATATAGTTGATAGTTGTTTTGCATATTGTCAAATATTCTACCATTTCTGCCCAGCCGGTGTGGCTCAGTGGTTGAGCGTCCACCCATGCACCAACAGGTCACCAGTTCGATTTCCGGTCAGGGCACATGCCCAGGTTGTGGGCCCAATCCCAGAGGGGGGCATGAAGGAGGTGGCTAATCGATATTCTCTCTCATTGATGTTTCTATCTCTCTCTCTCTCTTCTTTCCTCTCTCTAAAATCAATAAAGAAAACAAATTTTTTTTTTAATATTCTACCATTTCCTTCAATAAGAAAAAAATTAAAATGAGCAAGAAATCCAACAGTGAATGGGACTATTAGGAGACTACATGGAACCTTTAAAACTGAAATGTTTAAACTTCACTTAATACAAAATTACCCAGTGTAGTGTTGCTTTATAAAAAGTGTATGCTTTGTTCTGGTTTTTATTATCTTTCTTCCACAGACATTTTATAACATAGTATTTATCAACTTGAACAATTTTTTCTTGTTATCTTGGATTGAGCTATACTTTTTTGATTCCTCACAGTTTAGTTTACTTAATGTCTTGAGACTTTTCCTTTAGTCTGCCCTTAAGTTTTTTTTTTTTACTTACATGTTTTTAACATTCAACTTTACTAAAGCCAGCTCAAGCAAATATATTTCATCTGTATTATCTACTAGCATTTTTTTTAAAAAATTGCTTAATATTTTAAAACCCATACAGATTAAGACACCTTGAAAAATATCAATACCAGTCCTGCAATGTTTTTATATTTTCAATATAAAATTAGAGAAGAATACTTTTCTACAATACTCAGGTTATCTCTAATTGTTAATTGGGGATTCTGATTATTTGAAAACCACTTAAAAAATATGAGGGGCCTTTGCTGGGTTGCTCAGTTGGTTGGAGTATCATCCATTACACCAAAACTGGGAGTTCGATCCCCAGCTGGAGCACATATAGTTGGTAGGCAGCTGATCGATGTTTTTCTTTCACATAAATGTTTCTCTCTCTCTCTTCCCCCACTTCTCCTCTCTAAAAATCAATTAAAAATTTTATTAAAAAATATGGGGAGACTATTTCAACTCTATATATGAATTAATTCACAGGTTCTCACACAATTTCTATCTTGTTTATTGCTAGCTTGTTTTCTTTCATCCTTCCTTTTCTCTTCAAAGGAACTTTCCCCTGCTTTCCAAAAAAAAGATGCACAATCATTATGAAAAGCTTAGAAAATACAGTTAAGCAAAATTAAGAAAATGAAAATTACTGTAATTCCTATGTATAGAGATAATGACTATTATTAATCTATTAATGTTTTTATATATTCTTCCAATATTTTTATTTGTTACTTTTTAATGGGATCATAATATACAGGAGTAGGCAAAAGTAGATTTACCATTTTTCATATGGAAAAATAATAAATAATAATACAAGAATTAACTTTCACATACTAACAACTGTAAACCTACTTTTGCTCACCCCTGTACATACTGATTTATTAGCCTCTTGTTTTTTATTTTATACTGTATCTTGAAAATATTTTCCTGTCACCAATTATTCTTTGTTTTAAAATATGTTTTTACTGATTTTAGAGAGAGGAAGGAAGAGGGAGAGAGAGAGAGAAACATCTACTGGGTTGCATCTCTACCAGGGACTGAACTCGCAACCTGGGCATGTGCCCTGACCGGGAATCAAACCAGCAACCTTTCAGTGCATGGAATGACCCTCAGCCAACTGAGCCACACCGGCCAGGGCTCCACCAATTACCCTGATTTTAAATATTTCTTTTTGGCCCTGGCCAGTGTGGCTCAGCGGTTAGAGCGTCGGCCTGCGGTCTGGAGAGACCCGGGTTCGGTTTCCACTAAGGGCACGTACTTCGGTTGCAGTTTGTCCCCGGCCCTGGTTGGTCGTGCGGGTGGCAGCCACTCGATGTGTCCCTTTACATCGATGTTTCTCTCTCTCTCTCCTTTCCTCTCTCTCTCCCTCCCACTCTGTCTGTACAAAAATATGGAAAATATCCTCGGGTGAGGATAAAAAAATAAATAAATATTTCTTTTTATGTCTGAGACTTTTATGGCCCCTTTTTCTATTTTGCGTGGGAGAAGGTGGCAAGAAGTTCAGTTTCCCTTTTAAAGATAAAGACAGTTTTGCCAATGTTTCCGGGCTTTTATGTTGTTCTGCTTTGCTTCATGTTGAAGGACTCACAGTCTGCTTTTTTAAATCTACCTTTTGGAGTTGTTTTCATACTCAGAATTACTGGTATATTTGCTGTAACAAATTCCACGTGAACTCCAAAGAACTCTCAAGAGTAATCTTAGACCAGACATCTAACTTTTATAAGTGGCACATAAAAGTCATCTCTTGGGTAATTAAAGGCCTCCTTTACATTGATATAGTAGCAGTTTGGTTATATACCCAGAAAAAAGACCTGACCAAAGTGATGACCACTCACACTATTTGTTTGAACCAGATTATAATGTCAAAAGGGAGGCATCGTCCTTGCGCTCTTTGATTGAGTGAGAGAATTTCTAGTGTTTAATTATTTTAGTGGACAAGAGTGTGGAGAAAGGGAACTCATAATTAACTTACTAGAAAATCCTTCAAAATGATGGAACCTAATCATCGACCCTTTGCCAGTCAAGCAAATTAAATTCTTTCCCCATGCATATCTCTAAATTGCAATCCTGTACAAGGAAATTATTGAATCTAACCCTAGGCACTGACCATGTTTTAAAGCTTACATTTAAGCAAAAGATCTCCAAGAATTAATTTTGAGACTGACTTCATTCCTTTTGAAGAATGGCTTGAAATGGGCCTCATGCTGGAATCAATTTTTCAAGTGTATTTGAAAATGAGTAAGGATATCCTCCCATAGTAGATGAGTCTCCATTAGTACAATGCATATTGTGTGGTTTCCATAATTATGGCGTCACTTTTTCTCCAGTAGAATTGCCAGTAGGAAGAAGAAGGTTCTTTGAGATGGTGTATAGAATCATTTCTTTTTCAAAAATATAGAGACTGCTGGAGCTATTTTAGAATTCAGATACCACTTGGAAAATGCTTATTAGTTAATTAGTTTATGGAGCTAATGGCCCTTGGCTGGTTTGGCTCAGTGGTTAGAGCGTCAGCCCGCAGACCAGAGAGTCCCAGGTTTGGTTCCCACTAAGGGCACATACTTCGGTTGCAGTTGTCCCCGGTCCCGGTTGGGGTCATGTGGGTGGTAACCACTCCATGTGTCTTTCACACATCAATGTTTCTCTCTCTCTTCCTCCCTCTTTCCCTCCCCCTCTATCTGAAATAAATGCAAAAATGTCCTCGGTGAGGATTAAATAAATAAATAATTATAAGAAAAAATGGATACATTTCTCAAAGATTCCTTGAACATTTTGAACTAATAATATAGAAAACAAGGAAACCTTTTAAGGAAGAGGGTAACCCAGAAAAGAATGGTTGGAGATCACTTTATTTTGTCCTTTTAATTCATGATTGGATTGCCTAAAAAGGATTTGAATTAATTTTGTTTTCAATTGCTAATCTCTGGAGACCATGAAGAAGTTAAAAAACACATTTTAGACGACTTCTTATCAAACCAATCAGGAATACAAATTGGTTTACAATATCAGTACAGAATACCAATATCACAAACACTGAAGAATTATTTATTCTGATCCTATCTCAGATTATATAAATTGGTAACCAAATGTTGCAATTGGAAAATATCTTAGAACTGTTTAACTCTTTTTTTGTTTGTTTGTTGTTAATCCTTACTTACCCAAGGATATTTTTCCATTGATTTTTAGATAGAGGGGAAGGGATGGAGGGGGAGAGAGAGACATCAATTGGTTGCCTCCCACACTATCCTGACCAGAGGCTGGGGCTCAAACCTGCAACCTACGTATGTGCCCTTGACTGAGAGTCGAACCTGCATCTCTTGGTCCGGGGGCCCACGCTGTAACTGCTGAGCAAAACCGGCCAGGACTTAACTCTTTCTTGTGGTGCTTTTTGTCCTGAATCTGAAAGAAGACAAAATAATTTTCAGATCTAACTTCAGCCCTTAAAGTTATTCATGATGTATTTTACAAAGAATGTTTTATTTGGAATCAACCAGATTTGTTTTCTGTCAACAAAAGTTAGGTTGTCTTTTATAGTTCTCAGGTAACAAATATGAGGACCGAACTCTCATTCAACATTCAAGCCCTTGCAGTTTGGGCTAATATATGTTTAGTAAGAAAGTAAGTAATATAATTTTTTTCCTGTTATTTTTCCCATGTTTATTAATTAAATTAATATTTCCAATATGTCATTGTAGAACATTGCCACTAGTATTTTATATTCCATATAAGTGATTCTAATGACTTCTAATGAATTGCTTTTTTGCTAGAATTTTTTCTGATTATAAGTTAATGATTTTGAAAGATTGAGTGGTGCATTACAGTCCAAGTAGGCGAGTCATTTAATGTCTTAAGCCTTGGTTTGATTGTTCATAGTCAGTTATTATTCTTACTTTGCAAAAGAAGCAACAATTATGTGAATCCCTATAATATTCTACTCTATAACCTAGGAAAATTAATTTAAATGTTTTCCTATTTGAGGATATTTAAATAGCTTCCACTTTTCCACTATTATAAGTGACACCAAAGCATTTTTATAGAGTAATCTCTATTTATATTTCTGATTATTGCTCATAGGTAGATTTATGCCTACATGTCAAATTACTGGGTCAATAAATGTGAATATTTTTAAGGCTTTTGATATATATTGTCAAATTAACTTTTCTTAAAGATTGTACCAACATACATTCTCATACAACTGCATTCTCGTTTATACTATTGAGATTTGTCATTTTATTTGATGCATGGAATTATTCTTTTGTTTTGCATATATTAATCACATCTTATATATAACAAGATTAATCATTTGTATTTCTTCTGCAAATTTTAACTTTATATCTTCTGCATACTTCCTAGTTGTCTGTAATATGTAATATTGTTTAGTTTATTACTATGCTTTGGTTATCAATTCAAATTCAGATTTGAAAAACTGAGATCCTTCTTTATTCCTACTTAAAAATGGAAAGTTTTATAGTTCCAAACATTTTTCTATAGTTTAAAACTATGTAATATTATTATTGATATTCATGTACATAAATAATTTGACATATTTTAATATTTTATAGGAACAGGCAGAACCCATCATTAGTATGGCTTTTTACTGGAATGTTTTGCATTTATTCATTGTTCTTTGCTTGGAGGGCAAATTTAGATATTTCAAAACCACTGTTCATGGGTGTGGTAAGTTTTATTTAGATATATCCTTTTAACCAGAAAATTTGTGAAGAATGTATTCATTTGTCTCTCGGGAATCTTGTAGAAAAATAGAATATTTCAGAAATAGTTAAAATTGCATTTATATCATTATGAATCAAAAGTTAAATTATTGAACCAATAAGACAAAGGCCTCTTTTTAAGGAAAAAAGTGCATTGTTTAGTTAACATGATAGTTAAATAGAAAAATAAATGTAAGGTAGATTTAAGTTAGTCATTTTATTTGTTTACATAGAGATAGATATGGATACTACTGTATTTCTCCGGGTTTTTTTTTAAACAGCAAAGAAATATGGGTCGTAACTAGGGCTACTATCGATGCAATGTATCATTTCTTACCTCAGTCCAGGCCTGTGCAGAAGAGCAGCCACTTTTCTGTTTTGCCCTGGCTGCCATTTCTGAGATTCTCCTTACAATAGAAACTCTGTAAGTGTAGTAATAGCTCTTTTTTAACAGCTGAAACAATTTTTGGGGTGTTCAAGCGGCCTACTAAATAATACCCTATTTAATCACCTGAGTTCAGAATCAGTTGAGAAACAAGATAAACCAGTACAACGAGTGGGAGAGTCTCCTTCATTACTGATAATGCTGAAATTGGAGAATGCAGTTTATGTCCCAGAGCAAGGGGGCTTCCTCACCCTTCAGCCAGCACAGGGGGACCTCACCCCAGTCACAGGCAGTGCTGCACAGGCAGGTCTTCCCCACCCACCCCACCGTGCCACAGGGAGAGTCTGCCACTGGATGAGTGCTTCCTATGGGCAACTCATTTCCAAGAACAAGAGAGAGGAGAGGGGAGGGCAGTGTAGGCCCAGCGCCAGCTCCCAGACTGCCCAGTCCCTCAGTTCCTGCTGGACGAAATCTCTGAGAGCCCAGGAGTTAAACCGAGGGAACCTCTACACATGGAAGGGAACATCCACATGGAAGGGAACATCCACATGGAAGGGAACATCAGCAGTAAGGCAGAAGCATTTCTCCACCTCTTCCACTTTACATACTGCAGGAGCTCAACATGAAGTCCACAGTATTGAAAAGAATGTGTGGGTCCAAAAAGAGAGCTTCACATGTCAAACTGGGAAGAAGGAATGTTTGAAAATAAAAAACGAAAGGAACATGGAGTTGGATGGGGAAAATCAGTTAGCAAGACCTGAATGACAGCAGGCATAAGCAGCTCCATGTATGCAATATGTTCAAACATGTAAGTACCAGACTGACTGCAAGTTGGTCACCCGGACGTACTGTGTGTGCGCCTCTTTCTCAGGTGGAGCGGTTCTGGATGCAGAGCAACGCAGTGGTGGCCGTCCTCGCTGGCGTCGGGCTGGCTGCGCTGGCGTCGGAGAGTAATCGCGTGCTGAACGCCAAGGGGCTGCAGTGTCTGGAATGGCTTTCTGCAACCCTTTTTGTAATTTACCAAATATATTCTAATTACAGGTGAGAAGTGGTTATTTTTATGAAAGGTATCGCTCAAGCCAGAGACGTTTGGATATTTAGATTCTAGGACTTCACTTCATCTTTGACTTCCACTGGTTTTCAGAGTGAGAGAGCGTGGTCTGAACACCCTGGTTCTTAAACCTTTGAACCAGAATTTCAGCGTGAGTGACATGTAGTTCAGGGCATTGCAAACAGGGTTCTTGTGGTGCATGGAAACTATCTGTATATGTTCTTCTAAAGAACCCTAGAGATAGTTGTGGAATCTGTAGTATATGCAAAATTCCCTGATGTAAAAGACCACTTAGATGGAGAGTAAAGATATTTGGGCCTAAGGTATGCCCTAAAATAATTCATGCTAGGCTTCAGAGATTTCATCTTTTGAGTAGTACCTGTTCTTTATCGAGTTCATTCTGTAGTAGTGAATATTCATTACTTTGAAATAAAGTTCAAAAAAATTTTTTTAACCCTTAGGCATTATTAGTATTATATGTATTTTTCTAAATCTTTTTAATAACTATTCTAATGAAAATCTCAGTCTAACATAAAAGATGTCCAAGTTTTAGATAATTCATTTCTTTCCATCAGTGTTGTGTAAATATTACAGAAGTGGAAGAGTCCATTGGAATTTTGTTATAGTAAGATTTTACGGTATTTTATAAGTTTAAATAATTTCTTTCAACTTAACTTTAAAGATCGATGTTCTTTATAATACCTGGATAGCGCCAGGGTTAGGAAGGCTGAGTCACTAGGACGCCTGGTGGGATTCCCCAGACCCAACTCCATACCTAGCTCAAAGGTTTGCCAAGCCCATGATGTGTGTTTACGCAGCCTTTTTTAATCCCAATCTTCTCCTGGCTCAGGTCTTTAGGGCAACCCAGGTTCAACTCCAGGGACATCAGCACAGGCTAGGTGGTTTTATTTTGTTGTGATTCTTTTATTTGCCCCGGGTGAATGGAATAGATAGCAACACTGCTGGGTGGTGCCATGTGAGGCATCACCCTGCAAAGCAGGGGATCCTAGGAGAAAACAGTTGCATTGATTATAAAGGCAAGGATAGTATTTTGTTCCTGGAAGTGTTTATTTGCTTTGTGATACTAAACTGGTGATTCAGGTTCAGGCTGTGTTTCTTAGCACCATTAAATGTAACAAACCTGATAAGAACAGGAAGGACATTGCTTGTTCAGTTTTTGATGCTTTTGCTCCTGTAGTCTTTTTCTTTCCTTCTCTCTCTCTCTCTTTTTCTTTCTTTTTTTTATGGGAAGCACTTAGAGTTCATGCCAGTTTTTCTTTGACATTAGAACATCCACTTTGTCATTGAAGGGAGTTGCACCGCTTTTATTATAATGCCTGGAGAGAAGTAACAACTCAACCTCTAGTCCTTGCCTCCCTTCTCATTGGTCTCATTCCGTAATGATTTCTTGGTCTGGGAGGGGGAGGGGGACACAGGGAGCTGTGGCTCAGGGAGTGGTGCAAAGGAGAGTCTTGCATGCGAGTCGGACAAGTGGCGGCCCGATGGATGCTGGAAACCAGATTGCTTTCTGCATTTCTGAAAGTTCCTTGGGACTAAATGGAATTAACATGAAATGACCTTCAATTCCAAGTGGAGTCAGAAACCTTACTTCTTTTTAGTGAAATTGGATACACTTTTAGGGGAAAATGTTCTTATTCTTGAGCACTAACTGATTCTCTTTTTATGAAAATGATTATAAATTCCAGAAGTGAAACAATACATTGATTTTTTTTCAACTCACAATGAGCTCCTTTTTTTGCAGAGGATAGTGTTCACTTTTCAAATATAAGCATGCTCTTGGAAAATATAAGTTTGAATATTTTGAAGCACTAAATATAGATTGTGTGATGGGGAAGGAATGGGGCAGAAAATAAGCCCAGTCTTATTAAAACTGAAATAATATGTTGCTATTTTAATGTTTTTTTAATCCTTTTATTTAGCATTTGTGACCAAAAGACCAACTATGTGATTGATAAATTTGCAAAGAACCTTCTAGCCTCTATGCCTCATGACGCAATTATCTTACTCAGAGGAGATTTGCCAGGAAATTCTCTCCGTTACATGCATTATTGTGAGGGACTGAGGCCAGACATTTCGTTGGTGGATCAGGAAGTAAGTATATGGAAAATATACTTAGAATAAAATAATTATAATCATTTTTAAAACGTTTTAAAAAAAATTTATTTCACGGTGTGTGGGTACGGTTATCCTGATCACTCTTAGGTAGAATACATACCACATTCTTTTGTTTAACTAGTGGTATAAATGATATGAGTTGTCTCTTCATTATTTAAACTGAATGTTTTAAAAATGTGTTTCATGTTAGACTCAAATAATATCCTAGGTCTCTAGTTCACATGACAAACATGAAAACATTGTATAGTAAATTTATTTTAAAATTGTCCTTTTACATTCAAATTAACATTGCCCACTGGTCCAATGATTAAAATAAATTAGGTTCAATATAAAATGTTATACTTCAGGTAAGTAAACATTTCACTCAAAATAAAAATTATTAACCACAATTCTGCCATAGAATTTTTGTGTAAACTTTGTTGATCATATGAAAAATATATGGATGGGAAGGACTTATGAAAATTTTGAAATCTATTAAAACAATCTTCTGGAACTAAAGAAATATATTTGAACTATAAGATTTATTATTTAAACCATAGATACTTAAAAGGGAACAGAATGATCTCTGGTATTTTTAGAGTGGTCATCAGGAAAAGAGAAATTCTTTTTTTTTTTTTTTTTTTTTTATCCTCATTTGAGGACTTTTTCCATTTTTTTTGTACAGACAGAGTGGGAGGGAGAGAGAGGAAGAGAGAGAGAGGGAAACATCGATGTGAAAGGGATACATCGAGTGGCTGCCACCCGCACGACCAACCAGGGCCGGGGACAAACTGCAACCGAGGTACATGCCCTTAGCGGGAACCGAACCCGGGTCTCTCCGGACCGCAGGTGGATGCTCTAACCGCTGAGCCAAACAGGCCAGGGCGAAAAGAGAAATTCTTAATCTTAAAATAATATTATGATTAGTTTGGTTAAGAAAATTATTAAGCACAATACTTATTTAATAAATATTTTTGAATTAATGAATAACAAACTTTTTTGGAGAAAACTTTATAAACAGATTTGCAAATATAGGAAAATTTACAAATTACATTTTTATAAACAGTTTGCATTTATATCTAGTATACTGATTAATTTGATTTTCAGTCTAGCTTCTGACAAGAGCTAGGTTATTTGTTGGTAATATGGTATTACAGTGTGGTTTTGGGCCCTGGCCGGTTTGGCTTAGCGGTTGGAGCATCAGCCTGCGGACCAGACAGTCCCTGGGTTCAGTTCCAGCTAGAGGCACATACCAAAAGAAAAATAAATAAATACTGTTTGGGATGGCAGCTACTATAGTTGAGAAGCATGGATTTCAGCGTTTATTGGACCTAAATTCAAGTCCTCATTGTGTCACTTCCTGAATATATGACTTGGAGCTAATGATTTTTCTTCTCAGAGCCTCTGTTTCCTCATTTATAAAATGGGAACAAATGATTGTCATATAAATATAGAATGCTTTTGAATGTAAGAAGCAAAACACCTGATTAAGAGTAACTTAAACTATGGAGTTTTTAATTTTAACAAGTAATCTGGAGATAGTTGGTTTTAGGTTATTATAAGCAGTTCAGTGATGTCCGGGTTCTGGGGCAGCTTTTCTGCAGCTATCTTGAACTTACGGTTGCCCTCTTCCAAACTTCACATCATGAAACCAAGCCACGCACTCCTTCTGGTGCCTGCCTCTCCTCTCTCTCTTGGGAGTAACATGTAGCCCAGAAGCCCCTAGTGGACCTCCACTGGGCTGCACTAACCAGTATTGAGTCATATGCCCACTTCCAGCCTATTCACTAGCAAAGGGGAATGACTAGACCCACGCATATTGCTGCCCTGGTTACCTGATCAAAGTCAGGATTGTGTTAGTGAGAAAAGAAAAAAAAGGTATTAGCTGCTGAGTGGGCCAACAGCAGTATCGGATGTAATTATTCTCACATAGTAAGTTTATTCATGAGAATTAAATGATAAACAGTGTCATAGCACCATGGGTATTTAATTAATGTTAATATCCCCAAGAACTGAAACTACTAGGTAATAAAATCAAATTCAGTAAGTATTTTGTGAATATTTGCAATATATACTTACATTAAAATTAGTCAGTTCTAATTAAATGACTTGTATAAAGCAAGTAAAACATAAGCATAATTACTCAAATGATAATATCCAAACTTTAACAAAGCTTTGAAAGTGTAAGTAGGAGACTTTAAGAAAAAAGAAAAGCTATACAAATAAAAGTATAGATAAGTATGTATTAACTATAGACTTCAGAAAAGTGACTTTTTCTGATATTAGTGATTCATTTTAAATGTCAGGATATATAATGAATTTGGAGATACTAATAAACTCAGATAATTTAGCCAAAAAGGTTTTTATCTTTGAAGCCTAGATTATCATATGATCGAGCTTCTCCAGGGCAGAGATTATGTCTTCTTCATTATAGGTGAGCAGTACTTTTTTTTGACTGAATGAATGAATGAATGGAGTAATGACATATTTATTTTGCCTAGATTGTCTAGCCTGGTCATCAAAGACATTTCAACTTCAGCAGACATAACTTGAGAACTGTTCTATGCCAGGCAATGCTAGGTGCAGAGGGCAAAGATGAGAAGATACAGTCCCTGCCCTCTAGGTGTTCACAGTCTAGCGAGGAGTAGGCTAAGAGCGATACTAGAGGTCGGTACGGAGCTACAGGAGCATATCATTCTGCTGTGCAAACCGGGGAGGGTATCTTAGAGGAAGTGCTATTTCAGCTGGTTTTGAATGCTGAGTACACATTTTCTCTAGGTATAAGAATGGGGGAAAGTCATTCTGAATAGTCCGTCAAATGCATGGAGGTAAAATGAAAGTAGATGCTGACCTTACCCACGACAGTCACAACTTAAGACATGAAATCCAAGGTTTAAGTCATTACAAGAGTGGTCAGTGCCACATACCTTGGTTGTGCTTGTATGTAATTTTTAATTATATTTGTATTTGATGAGTATATCCACATTTTTTTTTGCTGTGCTTGCTAAATTTCATGTTTGTTAATAAAAGCATCATATGTTCTTCTTCTGGCAGATGATGACTTATGAGTGGTACTTACCCAAGATAGCAAAGCATTTACCAGGAATCAACTTCCCTGGGAACCGATGGAATCCTGTGGAAGGAATATTACCTAGTGGAATGGTCACATTTAATCTTTATCATTTTCTTGAAATAAACAAACAGTAAGCATTTTTTTCATATAATAGTTTTTCCAAAATCTTAAGCCGTTCTAAAATTGTTTATGTGGCAGCTGTGCTTCATCCAAAAGACCGATTTTCTACACCTATTTTCCAGCCACCGATGAGATTATCTTTGTAATTAAATTGAATATCTGTGCATAAACGAGGCCAGGCAGAAATAAATGGTATTGTTTTGGGGAAAGGAAAAATAAAGACAGATTAGCAAGAAGAGCAAATAAGATCTTAGTACAATTCAGAGAAGTTGGAGATGTGCCTGCCTACTTAAAATCATTGCAGGTGGATCGTAAGCAATTATAGTTCCCCGATCAACATGTGGCCCCTTTTAAGTGTAAAGGAAATGGTTTCCAGGAATAATTACTATATAAAAATAGCTTAAGGATTCTTTTTTAAAAGATAAGGCATTTTTATAAATAAGAAAAACACCTACAGTTATATTGGCTGAGATAACATATGAGAATTGTGAATTCTGTACTTGAGCACATAAAATTATTTATAGTTAAGATCAAGAATAAGGAACTCCTCCAACAGTATAGTTTTGAATATTTATCCTGTCCATGAAATGCTTGGGGATTATCCAGAGTGTGAAGAAGAAAAACTTGTTTTATAATTTCTATTCTCTTCTAAAGGGGACTTCAGAAATTCTTTGTAAATTGCAAAGTTAAATTATCCCTTACTAAGAACATAATAATATGTTTTTGGGTTCAGAGCCTGAAGTTTACTGTGGCTCATGAAGTAATATGGAGGTAATGGGTATACACATGCTGTGAGAGTAACATTTAATTGTTCTATTTTGGAATAAAATGCTAAGAACCATTAACATCCCCAAATAGGCATTTTGTGTGCGTGTGTGCATTGTATTTATTGAACATTTATTGAATCTAGCATGTTCCAGCTTATATTATTAGGCCCTGGAATATAATGAAACTCAGTTCCAAATTTAAGTAGACCACAACCCAGTTGTATATATACATAGATATGAACACAACTGGCCATAATATGATGGCATAAGCTCTATACTAGCAAAGCTTTGTCAAGTGTGAGACACAGTAAATGTTCCGTATGTGTCCACTGAATGGATGATTTAACTGACAGCATAAGCCAAGTGTTCTGGGCGCATCGTTGAGGAAGCAATTAATTCTACCTTGGGGCATTCATGCAATGTTTATTTAATAAATGCTGGGTGTGCAGAGTGCCCAGACAACTATACTGTCCAAAAAACTATACTGGCCACAGCTACGTGGACATGATCCCTGCTATACAGTCTTTTCTGATATGGTTTCAAATGGTATCTTAACTATGAAACAGATAAATTATAGTATCACCTGGTAATAATGGTGATAATGTTATTATGTACAAAATGTTGGAGATCTAAAAGCTAAGTAGAAATTTGTCGAGTGGGTGGAAGAAGGCTGATTTCAAGGGAATTGCATGTGCAGAGTCATGAAAAGGACCCGCTGAGCTCCAGGGAAACGGGGGTGGCCCAGTGTGATTAGAACTCAGGGCTTAGAGGACTCGGTGAGAAGATGGGTGTGGAGGGAAGGTGGGGCCCAGGTCACAAAGGGATTTATTCTATAGGCATGGATGACGCATTTTCTCACTATGGAAATATCCTATGCACCTTGTGCAAACTCTAGACGATACAAACAAGTATAAAGACGATCAGTATTATCTGTCTTTCAGGGACAACCACTGTTAACACTTTAGGAAGTTTTTGGGATTCTATTAGTTTTTAACAGAAATTTTTATTTATATACACACATATGTACACTTGCATAATATATTTCACATGGCTGGGATAATATTAAGTTTCCTGTCAATTAATTTTGTACCTAATATCTTATTATGAGCATTTCCCCATGCACTCAATAAAAGGTCTTCGTTAACATCATTTCTTGGCTGTATAGTATTCTCATATAGACTCATGATGACTTAGCAAGTATTTTATTGTTGGACATTGTTGTTGTTTCCAGACTTTTGCTATTGTAATCTAGCATGGTGATGACTATTCTGGCCCCTAGATTTTTAAATTTTTTTTTTTTTTTTTTTTATCCTCACCCGAGGACATTTTTCCATTTTTTGTTCAGGTAGAGTGGGAGGGAGAGAGAGGAACAGAGAGAGAGAGAGAAACATCAATGTGAAAGGAACACATCGAGTGGCTGCCACCCGCACAACCGACCAGGGCCGGGGACAAACTGCAACCGAGGTACGCGCCCTTAGCGGGAACTGAACCCGGGTCTCTCAGGACCGCAGGCCGACACTCTAACCACTGAACCAAACCGGCCAGGGCTAGATTTTTAATATTTTTGACTAACCAAGGCCACAGGATAAATATTGTTCATTGGTATCAGTTTTTAAATGAAGTTTTTAGTTTAAAATGTAATATGTGTTTATTACAGAATAATAAATCACTTTTTAAGAACTAGAAAAGTATGATATTCAGAAATAAAGAATATATTAAAAAAGCATATTTTTTACAAAGTTGAAATTACAATATGGAAGAATCCTATTTTTTCATTGAATATCATAAAACTATTTTCTTAATATTTTTACAAAACCTTTAAAATGTTTTTGGTAGGCACATGTGCTGTAATTTAAAAATAATAGGGGAGTCGAACTATTAGTAGATACTTAATATGATATCTTAATTTTTAACAATCATAAAATTATGAATTACAACCTCTCCCTCGCTCTCTAAAAAAAAAATCAATAAAAAATGTATTTGAAAAATGCCTTTGTGTATATAGTTTTCTTGTGGAGGAGGTGGAAATTTGAATTAAGGTAAATTCTCAGAAGTAAAATTATTAAGTCAGAAGAACAATTAAAAGGCACCTGATAGAGATCTTTTTCCCCAAAGCATTGGACCATTGGCATTAAATGAAAGCTCTCTAAATTGGTACTTTTTAATAGGAATAAAGCTTCCCTGGCCAGTTTGGCTCAGTGGTTTAAGCGTTGGCCCGTGGACCAGAGAGTCCCGGGTTTGGTTCCCGCTAAGGGCATGTTCCTCAGTTGCAGTTTGTCCCCAGCCCTGGTTGGGGTTGTTCGGGTGGCAACCAGTCGATGTGTCTCTCTCACATCGATGTTTCTCTCTCCCTCCTGCTCTGTCTGAAGATAAATGCAAAAATGTCTTCGGATGAGGATAAAAAATTAATTTAAAAAAATAAAAGGAAGAAAGCTAATATTTATTGAACACCTATTATTTTGTTTTAAATTGGAAAATGTGCCCTTCTTTTTGGTGTACAGGTCTATGAATTTTAACATGTGTATACATTTGTGTAACCCTGGCAACAATCAGGACACAGAACAGATCCATGACCCCCCAAACCACTAACCTTTGCAACCACTGATCTGTTTTCCATTACTACAGTTTTTCCTTCTTCCAGAATGTCATATAAATGAACTCAGATGTAACCTTTTGATACTGGCATATTTCATTTAGCATAATTAAGATCCATCTAAGTTTTTGTGTATATCAGTAGTTTATTCCTTTACATTGTTGAGTAGTATTCCATTGTATGGCTATACTACCATTCATTCATCAGTTCATCTGCTGAAGGACATTTGGGTTGTTTCCAGTTTGGGGCATTTGTGAAGAGAGCTGCTATAAACATTTATGCACAGGTTTGTGTGTGAATATGTTTTCATGCCTTGGGGTGGGATTATTGGGTTGTTTATTTTCTTATCATTGAGTTTTAGGAGTTCTTTAAATATTCTAGATACAAATAAATCCTTTGTCAAATGTGTGATTCGTAAATACTTTCTCTCAGTTTGTAGCTTGCCTTTTTATTCTCCAAATGTATTTTGCAGATAAAAGTTTTTCATTTAGATCAATCTAATTAATCGTGTTTTTTCTTTTATGGATCATACTTTTTGGTATCATATCTAAGATTCTCTTTTCCTAATGTCAGATTACAAAGCTTTCCTCATGTTTTCTTCTAAGAGTTTTATAGTTTTAGATTTCAGATCAATGATCCATTTTGAGTTAATTTTTTGTAATGTGGAGAGATTAGGACAACATGGTTTTTGTTTTGTTTTTTGCATACGAATGTTGAATTGTCTTAATATTATTTGTTGAAAACATTATTCTTTCTTCATTGAATTACATTTGTACCTTTCTCTGTGTTTACCAAAAAAAAAAAAAAAAATCCTTCTGGGGTTTTTTATTGGTTTTAATTTGATTAATATTTTCATGTTGTATATTTTTTATCTTTTTGCTTTTAATCACTGTCATATTTAAAGTGTTTTTATAAATTTATCTTTATTGTTGAAAATATTACAGATATCCCTCATTGACACCCTCCTCCCCATTCCCGCCTCCCCCCACCTCACTATTGTCTGTGTCAATTGGTTATGCATATATGCATATCAGTTCTTTGGTTTATTTCTTCCTACCCCCCTAAAATGGTTTCTTGTAGATAGCATATACTTGGGGTCTTAATTTATTATTCATTCTGATAATGTCTACTTTTCATTGAAGTATTTAGACCATTTGTATTTAGTCTAAATATTGATGTTTAGATGTATGTCTTCTGCTTATTATTTACTTTTTATTTGTTCCCTCTGTTTTTTATTCCACTGTTTGCCCTTTCCTGCCTTTCTTTAAAGACAATTTTATTGTTTTAGTATTCCATTTTAAATTATTTATTGGGATTTTTACTGTGTCTCTTAGTACATTATTTTTCGTGATTGCTCTTGGGATTACAGTATACATACTTAACTTTTCACAGTCTGTTTAGGATTACATTTTAGTACCTCAGGTGGAATATAGAAAACTCACTCTCATATAAGTCTCTTGAACCATCCCACTTTTGATTGTGTTGTCATATGTGTATCAGACAGGTGATCATTTTTATTTTCAACTGTCATACATATATTTTTTAAATTTAAGATAAAAATAGTTTAAAAGATTAATACAGATCTTTGCCATATGTGTTGCTCTCCCTTCATTCCTGATATTCTGAGTTTCCCTCTTGATTATTTCCCCTCCATCTGAAGATAATTCTGTAGGATTTCTTCTAGAGCAAGACTATTAGCAGTGAATTTTCTTAGTTTTCCTTCATCTGAAAATGTATTTTACCTTAATTTTTATGGATATTTCTAGATATGGAATGATGGGTTGATAACCCCCCACCTCTACCTCCCCCATTACTTTAAAAATGTTGTTTTACATACTTTTGACCTACATGATTTCTGTTGAGAAATCCAGAGTCATTCATATCCTTGTTTTCCTCTGTGAAATGTGTTGTTTTTCTCTGGCTGCTTTCAAGGTTATGTGTCTTTAATTTTTAGGAGTTTAACTATGGGCATGGATTTCTTTGAGTTTAACTTGTTTGGAGTTCACTGAGTTTCTTGTATCTGTAAAGTGTGTCTTTTCCAAAAATTGGGAGCTTTTCAGATATTATTTTTAAAAACATTTTTTCCTCTTTGGGGATCTGATGACATGAATGCTATTGTCCCACAGGTGGTTTTTTATAACGTTGCAAACAGATATGTTTTATTATTTATGTCTGTTTGCTTCTCCCCAGTCCCCCAAATAGTTTTTCACACTGGTATCAATTTCAAGCAGTCTGTTTGGAAAAGGTTTAAATAAACCACAATGTTTGCAACTGGCTTATTGGTGACTAGGAGTCAAAAATGACCCTTCATGAGTTATATGTATTTAACATTTAGAACTTTAAGGTAGAAATATATGATATATATTTTTTCTCTTTTGCACAGAAAAGAAACATTTGTTTGCATAGGAATTCATGAAGGTGACCCCACCTGGAAAAAGAACTATTCACTTTGGCCATGGGGTTCTTGTGACAAATTAGTCCCTTCAGAGATTGTGTTCCACCCTGAAGAATGGATTAAACTTACAAGAAATATCTATAACTGGACTGAAGAATATGGACGGTATGAACAGCAATTATATTTTTCAGCAGAGTATAGCAATTTGTGTGCCTAAAAACGCTAAATGTTGAGATGCTTTTAAATTTTTGGATATTTTTATTAGTTATTAATATTTTCATTTGCTGCCCAGACTATCCTAATAGAGAAGGAGAACACGTATTTCTTGTCCCCGTGTTGGAAGAACAACCGGGCAGTGGATGGGAAAGGGAGGCTGTGGTTGAGTGGACACAGCAGTTGAAACTTCCACTTCCATGTCCTGGGATGCATGTTGTCCACCAGCCTGTATCTCAGGCCCCTAAGGAAGAAGAGATTCACGAACTGCAGAGCTTTAAAAGTCACTCTGTTGCTCATGAAAGTTTTCACATTGTACACTTGTCCTATTTTTCTTCATGAGTGTCAACTAACTTGTCTTAGGGAAGACAGGGACTTGAGGAACTTGGTCTTCTCAGTTGTTTGCCATCAGCCTGGTTATGTTGTTCTGGGCATGATTAGTCCTCCCTGAAGCAACTTTCTCCCATTAGGAAAATGAGTCACCCTCTGAAGAAAGGTGCCTCTATTGTCTACATTTAGAAATACGAACTATTCACAGATTAGATCATTATTGCCTGTAATTCAAGGACAGTGGACAAGATCATGTGAAAATGCTATAAAGGTTTTTTCATCAAACTGAGCAAATGGACCACACTGCTGTGCACCAGCCAGAGATGGTTGGTAGGTCTCCATTGGAGCACTCTGAGACCATCATCGGGAGAAGTTAGGAAATAACCTATTCTGTAAACAGCTGATGACGGTACAAGTACACAGCATAACTCATTATCTTCATTCTGTCAGAATATATACATAAGAGAAATTTTAATTAAGAGAAAGAAAAAAACCTCAGTAAATGATGTAGCCTGAGTTCTGTGAGCAGCATCGAGCTCCAGCAATGGTTTAGCAAAGCCAGGGGTCCCCTCTCTTTAGGCCCCTTGCTTCCCAGCTCATGGGCTCCCAGCTGTGTCCATAGAGTGACAGAGGCCTCAGCCCTGCCCCTTTGCCCTTCTGACAGTTCTTAGAACAGCTGGCTCCCCAAATGCCTCCAGCTGCTTCCCACCAATCCTTTGTTTGCTCCCATGAGGCACTGGGGCTCATTATGCAGATTAAGAACACATTTACCAAAATTTCCAATTACTAACAATCCAACGCTTCTAGGAGAGTAAGTTTTTTCTTTCGGTCTCTATCAGTACTTCAAGATTCAGTCTATTTTATTTGCCTTGTAAGATTGTAAAACAAAGATTACACGTCCATAGCAATCCATGTAGCTGGCAGAAAAATGTTACTGTTTTCTTGTAACTGCAGGTTTGATCCATCTTCTTGGGAATCCGTGGCCAATGAAGAGATGTGGCAAGCAAGGTGACTAAGCTGAGCTTTTGTGTTTGTGGTCCGTTGTTAATATTGCCAAGAGGTAGTAGCCTGTGGCACTTTTCATTTATGGAATAGGGGTGGATGGTGATGATAAAAATGACATTTATGCGCAATCATTTTGTTTGAGACAGTGTACTAATGAATAATCTCATTTCATCCTGATTACAACCGATCTAGAGGTCATTATCATCTCCACTTTACAAAAGACCAAACTGGAGGTAGAGAGGTTACTTGTCCAAGGCCACAGAGCTGCGAGTGACGGAGTCTGACTCTGGAGCACTCGTAACTCCTGTCCTCTCCGGCCGAAGAGTGACCTTACTGAGGAGAAGTCGATGATGACCTGCCTCCATGTGTAATGTGCTAGTTAATTGCTCAAGCACGTACTGAGCCCTTCTCGGGGCCCGGCAGGTGCCAGGCATGGAGACTACACAGATGAATACAACACAGTCCCGACCCTCGGGCTGCTCACAGGCTGATGGCGCGGTCAGGCGTGTTAAGAGAGATTTGAGTGTTACTGTGCCAGATGCTATACTTCTCTGTCGTTCCTGTGTGAAACACTTCATGGTGACTCTCTCGGTACCTGTCATTTTAAAGTATTCAAAATACCTAATGCTAACAGACTTTGGCCCAAATATTAATGCAAAAGTTCTAAATGATACCGATGGGGGTACCACGTACATATGATGTACTTTCTGCAGCAAAGGAAGGAAGCCCACTCCGGGCCAGGGACTGGTTTGCATTGAGACTTGACTTACAGTGTATAAAGGGTTTTATATAAGTTTAAAGAGGTATTTTTTTGAATTGTCAAAAAATACCGCTCCAAAATAACAATTATAATAACAGACATACGATAGTTGATGCATTAGTGTTTTTGAAAAGGTCAGAAAATGGCGTATTTCAAGTGATCAGCCGAGTCACAGAGACACACTGGCTTTGAAGAGCTGAACAAAGATATACCATATGTCTGCACAGTTCTCTGTGCTTGAATGCGGGAAGGCTGGGGGAGCAGTCACATAAAAGAAGAAAGCAGGTTATTATTCGGGCGGGTATTGATTTAATTGGTGTGCTGAATACAATTTGGAAGAGTTCACATGGTCAGAGTGCAGCCACCTCTGAGGAGCTGGTCACACACGGCGTGAGCCATGCGCCGGGCACCTTCGGGGATGCGCTGACACACTCGCGGGTCTCCCCGCCCCCAGCCGCTCTCGCATCACGGTGCTTCTGGAGGGAAACGCCGGATGGTGGTGGTGGTGGACGCGGCTTTTTTCTGAAAGATTTGGCAATCAGTGTGAAAGCAGCGCCTTGCAAGTAGGGGGAGAGGGGAATATTTTGGTTCAGAGTAAATGTCTGAAGATAAGAGAAGTAAAAACAATGCAGTAAAGGGTTTTGTAGGTTCCTTATTGATGGAAAAGTCTGGCAGCTTTGAACTTAAAATTGACAGCATGATTTTAATGAAGTGCCCCCCCTTCCAGGATGAAAACACCGTTCTTCATCTTTAACCTGGCAGAGACCATGAAGATGCCTCCCAGCGTGAAAGCTCAGCTCTACACTCACGCACATGACGTATGTCCTGCTTTTATATGTACCAGTACGTTTGGTGGGAGGGTGGAGAGGACTGGGATGGAGAGAGTGTATCACAGGAGTGTTTTTACTTTTTTGTTCCAGCTTTATTTTCTGTTATAAAGCAGTGTAAATGGAAAAGGACTCATGTGTATCACAAATAACGTCTAAAGTACATTGGCAAAATAATGGTCCCCCTAAAGATATCTGTGTCCTGACCTCCAGAGCCTGTGACTGTGACCTTCCGTGGCAGAGGGGACTTGGCAGGGGTGGTTAAGGATCCTGAGGAGGGAGATTATCCCGGATCACGTCCAGGGGGCCCGGTGCAATCACAAGGATCCTTACGAAGAAGGCAAGAGGGCCAGAGTGGGAGAAGGAGATGTGACAATGCGAGCAGAGGTCAGAGGGGAGATTGGAAGATGCTGTGCAGGTGGCCTGGGTGATGGAGGAAGGGCCACATTCAGGGCGTCCAGGCAGCTTCTGGAAGCTGGACAGGGCAAAGAACCCGATTCTAGAGCCTCAGAAAGAACACAGCCCTGCTGATCTTACAAAAACCTCGCTTTTATGACTTTCTACCTCTGGAAGTGTAAAATAATAAATTCGTATTGTTTTATGCCACTATATTTGTGGTGATTTATTACGATAGTAATGGGAAACTAATGCAATGGCTTTATTTTAAAGAAGTTCTGACAAGTTGTCCTCCAGGGCCGAAGTCATCCCTGCTCCTCAGGCCATGGCTGGTTGAGATTTCATGAGAAGGATAAGGTCTTGGAGAGTAGCTTTGTCGTCTAACTGTGGTCCCAGGAAGCCAAACGAACTCTAAGACCAGCCACCTGGCGGCTCTTCCTTGGGAGAGGGGAGCACGGAGCAGTCTCGCCTGCACACTGTTCTAACACGCCCCCGCTTTCCAGCGATTTCTAGCACGGGCTCTTAAGACACCTTCCGGATGGTCATGCAGCCTGCTGTGTGGGAAACAGATATGCGGACATGGGCCAGTGCGGCCGGAGCCCGGGAGCTTACGTATGAGCAGCTGAGGTGTTCCTGCTGCGGCTGGACGCTGTGGGGCTGCGCCGCCAGGGCACTTGTTCGGTGCTGGGTTAGAATAGCGTGGTGTCCGATCATATGACTAATTTTACTTCTGGTTCTTGTGATCACGGGTTCACTGTTCATGCACTCAGACCATTTCCTGAGCAGCCAGTCTGTACCAGGTATTGTGGTGGAGACGATCAGGCATTGTCCCTGCTCTCGAGGTGGAGGCAGAGAGGGCGACCGAAGATAAAGGCCTCAGTTCACTCTGTAAGTGATGCGCGAGTGTGCAGGAGCGCCGTGGGGGCAGAGGGCTGAGCGCGAGGACACCCTCAGCAGGGGATGGTGGGAGGAAGGGACAGGAGGCTTCCAGAGGAGGTGTCCCTGGAGTTTCATTCTGGAAGGTCAGACGGAGGGCAGAGGAGTGCGAGAGGAAGGGAGGACATTCCCTAAGGCAGGAACCACGGGGACAATGGCAGAACCCTTGAGGTGCCCACCCCAGGACAGCGAGGGACAGGTTATAGGAGGCAGCATGCTGGAGTTCTGCCTGGCAGCCGGGAGGTCCAGGTTCAAGGCTCGCTGCGCCACTGATTGTCAACTGTAAGTCAGTTTACCTTCCAGCCTCGTGTTTTTTCTTTAAAAAAAAAATAGTGGGCTTTAAACCATGTAGATTCTTTCTCATATTCTGGTCATGTCACATCCTGTTCATCTATAATATCCTGTGATTCTGTGAAAACCAAGTAGGGTTTAGTTGGGAGAAATCCGAGGCTTACTAATATTTCATCTTCTCATCAGCAGTGTGTTCCGTGGTCGGTTGTTAGGCTACTGCTGAAGCTCGTTCATGGACTGACTGCCCATTTGGGCCTGTAACCTTGACTCTTTCCGGTGAAACAAAGTCCTGAGCACAGTCTGTAGGTATCTCCTTAGCATATGTCTCCAGATGTGTGACATTGTTTGAAAGACAAATGAGACCAAATACTTGATGGGTCAACACAAATCCAACCCCCAGTACTGGTCGTTCAAACATATTCTTTTTAGGTGTAAAATATATTTTTGTTATGATTTACATTATCCTGTTCAATAGCTTATACAGAACATTAAGCTCAGGGGACATTAAATTCAATTCTGGTGGGGGAGCACAGAGTATCCCTATTATCTTTAGGAACACATTTGATAAATTGAAGATTTCCCCAATAAACAGAACAAGTCAACCAGTCACAGTGACACGTAGACAGAGGAGGAAATACAGTTCTGCATGATGAGAAATTCTATGTGATCTTAGGATACAGCATGTGGCTGAGTGCACATCCAGAATACGCTGGTGCTCCAAGGCAGTGTTCTGGAAGAGGGAGGTATGGTTATTCTGATACCTGAAGACTTAGCAGGGGTGTCAGAAGTGATCCTCATTCTCTTGAGCCACTGGGGACATGCTCACTGAGGTGCTGGCCTCGGTTTTGAACTCCAAAACCTTAGTAGAATTTTGAAAATTTGGGGAAGTAAAGAACGGGAACAGTTCCTGAGCACCTGCTCTGTGCTGGGTAGCACGTCCCTCATCAGAGGGAGGCTCAGGAAGAAAAGCAACAGGTAGAGAGAAAAAAAGACTATGGGGCCCGGCCGGTGTGGTTCAGTGGATTGAGCATCATCCCATGGACTGAAAGATCCTGGTTCAGCTCCTGGTCAGGGCACATACCAGGGTTGTGGGCTCGATCTCCAGTAGGGGGCGTGCAGGAGGCAGCCAATTGATGTTTCTATCTCTCTCTTTCCCTTCCTCTTGTTCTTAAAAAAAAAAATCAATAAAAACATTTTTTTTTTTTTTTATCCTCACCCAAGGATATTTTTCCATTTTTTGTACAGATAGAGTGGGAGGGAGAGAGAGGAAGGGTGAGAGAGAGAGAAACATCGACGTGAAGGGACACATCGAGTGGCTGCCACCCACACGACCAACCAGGGCCGGGGACAAACTGCAACCGAAGTATGTGCCCTTAGCGAGAACCGAACCCGGGTCTCTCTGGACCGCAGGCCGACGCTCTAACCACTGAGCAAAACTGGCCAGGGCTAAAAACATATTTTTAAAAAAAGACTATGTGATGCGCGAGTGTGCAGGAGCGCCGTGGGGGCAGAGGGCTGAGGGCGAGGACACCCTCAGCAGGGGATGGTGGGAGGAAGGGACAGGAGGCTTCCAGAGGAGGTGTCCCTGGAGTTTCATTCTGGAACTCTGGGAGAGATGGAAAAACGATCTTTTACCAAGTGAACGAAAGGGTGTGGGGCTGGCCCTGGCTGGGTAGCTCAGTTGTTTAGAGTGTTGTCCTGATACACCAAGATTGCAGGTCCAATCCCCAGTCAGGGCATATACAGGAATCAGCCAATGAGTGCATAAATAAGTGGACCAGCAAATCTCTCTCTCTCAAATCAGTGTATTTAAAAAATTAAAACTGAAATTTAAAAAGAGAGTGGGGCAGCTAACTTCCTAGCTTTGCTGTATTTAAAAGTATATTCATGAAAGTGCAAGATGACTTTTCTGTTTTGTGGAGTGAAGAAAACTTAGGGGGAAAATTGCTTTAAATGGCAGCTTAAAGACTGAAGACTTTTTTTTTTTTTAAATTACAACCCTTTATTGAATACATATCATATGCCAGTTTCGTGCTACTTTGTTGTATCATGGGGTTTGCACTAAGCACCTTACCTCTACAAATAATGTGAGGGTCAGAGGGTTTGAATTTCAGATCTTTCAGAAAAAGTATTTTCTCAGAACCAGTGAAATGATTCATATACCTAAATTTTTAATGTTGGGAGATGAGCTTCCAGTTGCATTTGGTAAGAATACTTATTATATAATATACTGATTTAACTCCAAAAACTTTGAATTCATATTACAACTCTAAGGAGTCAACAGTTGTTATACAAAGTTAAAATCCTGCTACCTCATTCCACTTCTGCAGGCCCTGAACAAATTGAACATTTAAAATTTCTAGTTGCTCTCTTCCCCTTTTTTCCTCCACTGCTCATATTCTCTTTCTCTCTCTTTCTCATTCTCTTTCCCTCCTTCCTTCCCTCTCTTATTCTTTTTTTTTCTTTTTTTTTTTTATTGATTAATTTTTGTTACAGATGATTCTCCTTTTTTCCCCCACTGATTCCCCCCTCCCCCTCCCCTCCCTGCCCCTTCCCCAGATTGTTGTCCATGTCCACTGTTCATGCATACATGCGTATAAGTTCTGTGGTTCATCCCTCCCCCACCTCCCCACTCCTTAGGGGATTGTCAGTCTGTACCCTGCTTCCGCGTCTCTGGGACTACCCCATTCCTCAAACTGTTATGTTCATTATATTCCACAAATCAGTGAGATCATATGAAATTTGTCTTTCTCTGTTTGGCTTGTTTCACTTAGGATGATACTTTCCAGGTCCCTCCATGTAGTCTCAAAGGATAAGAGATCTTTCTTTCTTACCGCTGCATAGTACTCCATTGTGTATATGTACCACAGCTTTTTGATCCATTCGTCTACTGATGGGCACTTGGGCTGTTTCCAGATCTTAGCTATTGTAAATAGTGCTGCTACAAAGATGGGGGTACATATATTCTTTCTTATTGGTGTTTTATGCTTCTTAGGGTATATTCCTAGAAGTGGGATCACTGGGTCAAATGGAAGATCAATTTTTAATTTTTTGAGGTGACACCATATTGTTGTCCATAGTGGCTGCACCAGTAAGACTGAAGACTATTACATACCAAAATAGCGTATCAACCATGGACTGCGGAACTTTTCATGTGGATGCTATTCAAACATAAGAGATGCATTTGTCTGCTCTGGGATGGGCGTTGGGGAAATAGGGAATGTGCCGGGTCCCTTTCCGATGAGTGATATGGTGAATACAGTGCTAAGTCAAACAGCACTTGTCCCCAGGGACAGCGCTACTGCTGCTTCTGGCGTCTCCTTGTCAACTCAAGTTCCTGTGGGTCCGACTCCGAGTTGACGTCCCCAGAAAGGCTGTGAAATTCCCATATAACCAAGTGTCATCTTCTATGTTGCAGATATGTATCTACTTTTGTGAAATTTTCATGTTTTTCCACCAGAAAACTCTGTGTCAAAAACATTCTAACTCCATTTAATTAATACTGCTTCTGACGTTGAGAAACAAAGTTCCTAATTCCTTTGGGCAAAGTTTTCACTATCAGAATTATAATTATGGGGTACTGTGAAGGTTTTTAATATCTCGCTTTAAGGATAGCCCTTAAATTCTGTTTTTCCCGGCCTGTTCTGTGCTGGATTTGTTTGTCTTAATGTTGCTATTATTATTACTGTTGTTTCCAATGTAGAGAGAAATTCGTGTAAAAATGAGGGACAAAATTTAAATTCCTTCAAGTTCTTTATCCCTGCAGTTTTCTAAAGAAAGCTATTTTTTTTCCCTCCAACAGCTAAATTTAGAGTTTCAACCTTTCTGCCTATTGAGTAAATCGCTTTCCATGAATTAGAACTAAATCCCTCTCCCAGAACATCTTTCTGAAGGAAGAGCATTTGTCCTGACGCCGTGTGTCCTAGGTTCCCTCCGCAACACTGAAAAACCCCAGCAGCAGTTTTAGATGAGGCACATTTGCCTCCTGCCACTGTAATAATTACAGGAACATCCCTGCATTTTCTGCATGGCCTAGCAACGATTAGATTTTTCCTGTAGGCGGCTGGGATGGTTTTTTTTTCCTTGCTTTATTAATTCCTCTGTGTTTTCTGATTTTGGGGGGAAAAAAGTCAAGGGATAGCAATGAAATGCCCACATTTCTGCTGTCTTCCAGCTTTATAAGGAGATCGTCTACTCCCAGAAGGAACACCCAGTGAACTGGCACAAGAACTACGCCATCGCCTGCGAGCGGGTGCTGCGCCTGCGCCGGCGGGAAGGCGGCGCGGACCCCGAGGTCCTGCTGTCGGAAACCATCCGGCACTTCGGCCTCTACGCCCGGAAGGAGCCCAGTGACCCGCAGCTGGCCGATGTGGTCGCTGCTCTAAGGCACCTGAGAAAAGAACTGCAGAGTCTGAGAAGTATGAAAAAAGGCCGAGATAGCGAAATGTGAAGAACCTGCTTGTCATCCTGCTTCCAAAACTTCAAGGTCCAAAACTTTCTCCTCCGAGAAAGGAAACTGAATGAAACATTGAAGACCGAGCTCCTTCCCAGATGGAAGAAACACGGTGCGGCAGTACTTGTCATGGGGTCAGTGACTCAGTTCTGCTGTTTATGCCAACTCTGTGTAGCCCGTGTCCCCAAAGTAGCCTTTCAGTGAGAATCTTTCCAACGCTCTTCCTACTTTCACACCCTTTCGCCTAATGATTTTGCTTGATTAGATTCTACAAGGGATGGACTCTATTCATATACTTAAAATATCAACCATGACTCTTGAAGGGCCCTGCTTTTGGGGGGATCAGTTTTGAAGGTTAAATTCTTTGAACATTAATACCAGACCAAAGACATTTTCTGTTTCCCAAAAGTGACTTTTTTTTTTAAAGAGCAAATCTTACTATGCTGCAAGTCAGAACTGTTTTTTACTTTCACTAGCTGTGGTTGTTATATAATCTCCTGCTTCAAACTAAACACCAACCAGATGATATTTTGAAAAAAGTTGAGCTTCTATTGTCTTAGGCAGTTCTCTGAAAGCGTTGAAAAAGAAAGCTAATTTGTTGTTTGCTTTTTTCAGTTACATAAACAATTGGCCAGTAAAAAGGATTTTGTAGTTCCTTAATTAATTTTATATTTATGTTTCGCTTCTATTTGGGCTCATAAATCTGGGCCTAATAATTAGTAGGCTCCTGCTGCCAAAATGCAAAAAAGAAAAGAAAAAATGGTGGGGATTGGATGGGGAAGTGGTTCAATAAATTTATTTCTGTTACAAGCATCTTTTATACATATTACTAAAGAGAACCTAGTAAGACATGCAAATAATAGTTCTTTATTTTATTATGATAGTTAATTAATAGCAACCTGTTTTAATGAATAAAGTCACTCAGAGTCCTTCAGCACTTCCTAAGTAGAGGCCTGAATCTGTAGGGATTCTTTTCCCCCCAATTGTATAGCTCCTAGACTCCGAGCACTATATAGGCCCCTGTATAGAAATGCTCACTAATGAAGAGGGAGGGCTAGAAGCTTGTCTGCATTCAAAGATCACTGGTGAGTCATTCAGCAAGAAAAGGCCCCTTACCAGGAATAGTCACAGTTCCGTGGCATTGTACTAGCAAAAGGGTCTGATCAAAGGTCTCCTGTGGAGCTTGCATGGTTCCCTTTCATACTACGACCATAATTAAAACCACTAATTCTCTTTTAAAATGCTGCAGGATGCCATGTAGGCATCTGTCTGGAGTGTCCTTTGTGATGTCATAAGCTGTTAAGGACCAGTGCCGAGGGCTTTTGAGGGAAATGCCAGTCATGAAGGTGCTTCAAGACGAGGGTCCTCTGAAGGCTTGACAGGGCCTTGACTGCACAATTCGAGCTGAATTTGCCCCTTGTCAGCTGCCAGTAAATAAATCTCAAAGGGGGAAAAGCTGAAGTTTCATTACCTGATCCGTGGGGCTTTGTTGGTTTTGGCACCACACAGGGGAAGCTCTTGCCCCTCCATTCTCTGGATTTGAAGATGTCCATTGGAGCCTGCAGAGCCTGGACAGGGTTCAGAGCGGAACCTTTTGAAGAGTGTCAATAGTTGTAACAGTTCAGCTGTTAGGAAGACAAATAAATGGAGGAGCTCATTAATCCGCTTTTGGCTCTCAGTGCCTTTTGCCCTTTTATCACAGCCTTATTAGGCTCCTACTCATCTTGAACCAGAAAAAAATGAATTGAAGTTGTTGAGTACTAATTGGCAAAGACTTTTAATCATGGGCCAAGAACTTTCACTGACTTGAAAGTAACTTCTCCACAGGGAGGAACTGAAAACCCGGTTTACCTTAAAACAAAAACCTGTTGGAGTCCAGCGTGGTGTAAAAATTTAAGGAAGCATTGATAAATTGTCTAAGTTTGTCCATTTGAAAGAAATTATGTAAGATTATGATTTCCACTTTTCTAGAAAAACAAGTACAATAAAAGTCATGTAAATGGTCCCTAGAAATTCATTGTCTTTATTGGTTCAGAAAAGATATTGCATGAATGAGATGATCGTGTGTGTTTTTGAACATCTATATATACATGGATGGGAATCTTTGAGCATCTACACATACATGTGGTGTTGAGGAATCTTATTAGAAGTATTTTCCACTTGGAGCCTTGTGAATGGCCAATGAAGACGTCATTTTTAGCGTATCTGCTTTTTCAACTTCAATATGGTGCACAGATTATTTGTGTTTGTCCAACAGTGGTTTAGGACCACTCTTTAAAAAAGCAATGATATGATGGCCCAAAGTAGATAAGATCATAATTCTTTAAATTTCTGAAAACCATCAGTAAATGACAACATAGCAAACTGAGCCGAGATTTGGGGATGTTGGGCTTCATTCCCAGATCAGCTACCTTGAAGAATCCCTTCTGTCGTGTGAGGTTAAACAAGTTCCTTTCTGTTCCTCTCTCTCACTTTTCCTTGGCTAGTGCACAGACCCCATAACATCTGACAGAAGGGGTTTCCTTTAGTCCAGCCCCCGACATGGAAGACAAGTGAAGAGGTGACTTCTCATGCAGGACTTGGCCAGCATTTTCCTAGCAGTGCCCCTGAAGTGCCAGGGGTTGGCAGGGCGACAGGAACCCCACAAGGCCAACTTCTGCCTGGACTTTGGCCTGAGGAGCAAGTGGGAGCCAGCAGAACTGTCTGCCCGTCCACATGCTGCTGTGCCCTGCTGCCCAGCCCGGGCTGGCACACACCGAGGCAAGTGGAGAGGGGCCGTGCGGCTCCATGTTCTCCAGCAAACCCCCTGCCAGCCCTGCTCCTGCTGATGGGAGAGGTATGCGTGATGCTCGCTGTTGCCTTTCCTCTTGTCTTTGTGTTTCTTACAGGACCCATTTTGTTAAAATGCTTTTGTTCTATGACTTAAAATGCAGCCAAAATAGAAGGAAATCAATTACTTGTATACTCTTTTGAAACCTTCCAATAGAAATTATGAAATGTTATTTCTGTCCATATTCTTAGTATTTTCTGATGATAGAACCATGATATTTAGCCTTTATGATCTTTAATTAAATAAGGCCCATTTTGAGTGCCAGGATTATGTTTGATACCCTAATGATTTTTTTTTTCAACATAGACTAGGAATATAAAGAGTAGTTTTTAAAATTTATATTTTAAAAGTTAAATAATGTGAGTCCTAATTATAGTTCTAACCATTATTCCTCAGAATTGAAAAATGTTAGTGCTTTTAATATTAAGGGGTGGGGGGGATTAATAGCAAAGGTTGAAAAAGCATCCTGTTATAGCAAATCCTTTTACTCTGTTTTTATTCTGGTGTATTTTATAAATGCAGCAAGGCGGGGTTATTACTTAAAATTCTGTTCTAACTGGTTCCAAGTCCTGTGGTAGGTGAAGGAAATAACTCCAACCCAGTGAAGTGCACACTGTTTTGTTCACCCTCATATTTCGTTGAGGATGCAAAACCATTTGAAGGCCGCTATTCACAAACAAACAAGTAATATTTCCAGGGATTCTGGGAACATCCGAAGGCCAAGATCTTGGCACAACATTACAGAGTGAACAGGGAGTTAGAGCTTTGAGCAGCGATCATATTCGATGAAGATGTCACGTCAGTACCGTCTAAAGGTCTGTTTGATTTGGATCAGCATGGATGGTGTGAAAACAGCCTCAGGAAGAGCGCAGTGTGCTTACCTGGATATAGGAAAGTAAACTAATAGAACTAATCTTGAGAAAGGGATTTTTCTGGGGGAAAAAAATCTGATTGCTTTTCAATAATGTGACATATATTTGGTGGAAATTACATGTACTAGAAAGATTAGCTTATGTCATATTGAAGAAAAAGCAAGGCGGGGGGTAGAGGTTCCAAGACTGTAACCCTGAAACCCACAATTAGTGACTTTTATATAGGAGTTATCCGGGTCTTTTCTGCAAATCTTAAGTGTTATTGGTGAGGCTTAATTTTCAGTAATATAAATACTGTGATGATTTTAGAAAAGTCAAGTTGATATGGTTGAGAAAATTTCAAGATACAGATAAAAAACACACATGCAGATAATTGGACCATGTTCCCATCCCAGTGATCCAACTTCTCATAGCACCCAAGTGACCTGGTCCTTTTGTACATAGTTGCCATGAGATGAGGGTAATGTGAAATAAGGGTCTAATAAAAGGTAAATAGAAATGAGCCAATTCTAAGATTTAACCCTTTTTTTTTTTTTAATATGAATTTTTATTTATTTTTTTGTTACAGGTATTTTACCTTTTTACACCATTGGCACCCCCTACCCTACCCCCCCTCCACCCTGTCCCCGGCTTAGTTGTCCATGTCCATTGGTCATGCATACATGCATATAAGTTCTGTGGTTTATCTCTTCCCACCCCCCCACCCCCCATCCCCTCTTCTGAGGGATGTCAGTCTGTGCCCTACTTCCATGTGTCTGGGTCTACTGTATTCCTCAGACTGTTATGTTCATTATATTCCGTATATAAGTGAGATCATGTGGTATTTGTCTTTTTCTGCTTGGCTTGTTTCACTTAGGATAATACTTTCCAGGTCCCTCCATGTCGTCTCAAAGGATAAGAGATCTTTCTTTCTTACTGCTGCATAGTACTCCATTGTGTATATGTACCACAGCTTTTTTATCCATTCATCTACTGGTGGACACTTGGGCTGTTTCCAGATCTTAGCTATTGTAAATAGTGCTGCTATGAACATGGGGGTACATATATTCTTTCTGATTGGTGTTTCAGGCTTCTTAGGGTATATTCCCAGCAGTGGGATCACTGGGTCAAATGGAAGTTCAATTTTTAATTTTTTGAGGTAGCACCATATTGTTTTCCATAGCGGCTGCACCAGTCTGCATTCCCACCAGCAGTGTATTAGAGTCCCCTTTTCTCTACACCCTCGCCAACACTTGTTGTTTGATGATTTGTTGATGGCAGCCATTCTGACAGGTGTGAGGTGATACCTCGTTGTTTTAATTTGCATCTCTCTGATGATTAGTGATGTTGAGCATTTCTTCATATGTCTCTTGGCCATTTGTATGTCCTGTTTGGAGAGGTGTCTATTCAGCTCCTCTGCCCATTTTTCAATTGGGTTCTTTGTCTTCCTTTT